ATCTTCATGCTCTGTGCCTCCAGCACTGCCACGGGCGCCATGCCCTCCAGGACCTATGGAATTTTCCTTGCAATCAGGGTTCCATGGACATCTGGGGTTCCATTAGATTTCCTTGGAATTGCAATCAGCTGTGACAGTGACAATGATGTGGGAGTTCACTGCCACTATCAATATTATCTTTGGAATTGCAATGGCATGTGACCATGAAACTTGAACCAGCTTTGGGTCTAAGCTTAAGTTTGGAACTCTGAAAGGGGCGCAGCCACACGATGTGTGGCTTGGCGGTACTTTTTTGGCGTTGTTTATCGTCGTTTCTTTTGGGGCATGCTTTTCGCAGAAGCATTGATTGGTGTTTTTTGTGATGGGGTGGAGGCCATCGCTAATAGGTTGGAGGCCATCGCTACTTAGTAAGTTGGAGGCCATCGCTATTAGGTTGGAGGCGATCGCTATGGTTGGGGGGACATGCTGAGATTGGTGTGTGTTATTTTGTGCAGTGCCATTTTTTGGGGCCCGGCGCCAGCGGCGCCGCTCGGATTTCATGCCATTGCCGGCTTTGACCCAGCTGTCTGGCGCCAAGTGATTGACAGCGTTTCTAACCAAGACCAAGATCATAAAAACTATGTTTTGAGGTCTGACGAGGAAGAAGACGTGGGACCTGCAGTCGCCATTGACGCGAAGGCTTCAAAATGCTTGTAAGTCGTGTGATCGCCGCGCAAGTTTTAATCAGAGACTTTTTTTGGCAGGATTGTCAAACCAAATCCCATGCGTTTGATTAATGTTGTTTGGCATTGTTTGGTCTTTGAGTGTTTTGGCGAGGCCATGACAGTGGGTCAGGACGCTAAGAACAAACGCCAGAAATTGGCGCCGAAGGCGGGCACATGCCACGCAATGCTTTTAGTCTGGGCCTCTGAGTGAGCAAACTCAGTAGACCATCAATCAGTCAATATGGCAGGCCAAGAAGGTGTTCAAGATCAAGCCGACCATCCAGAAGCTGAAGCCAACAGCTCCACCCGCGACGTGCCGATGGATGGCCAAGAGCGTGTACAAAGCTACTGGGAAGGTGCTCGGTTCCATTTTTGGTTTGCCATCGGAATACATTTTTCAGAAGTGAGTTAAAAAACATTGCGCCAGTTGCCTCGGCATGGTTTGATCGCTGGGAAGTTCGTGCACGGGTGCAACATCCGACTTCCGAAAACTGAGAACTTGAAGTTGAAGTGCGCGCTGACCCCGGTTCTGAATTCTTTTAGCAAAACTTGGTTGGGCTGACCGTCAGTCAGGTCAGCAGACAGAAGCCAGGAACTAAGGCCAACGGAGCAGAGGCCAGAAGTGTTGTTTCTTAAAGCAGTTAGATGGCGTGTTTCACCTGCTACGTAGATCTGGACCGGCAGCAAGATATTCCGTCGCTACAGCACAATACGTCTTGTACTGAGCAGAGGAGTTGGGCCCCTTCAGTTCAATCCCTTTTAAGCTGAGGGTGCTTTTCAGCTTCCACGACTGTGACACGCACTGCTGTTTCGGCCCGTGGTATTTCTGCTCAGAGCTGAGTAGGCTAGCTTTGCAATTGTTTTGAAATCAGTTTCCAACATGCTCAAGTCTGTCCGGCCCAGGATCTTGCCAACCAGATTGCTTTTAGCCAAGACTATGTTGCTTTGAAGCGGCAAAGGGGTGAGCCTGTTGGGAAGTATTTATCGGTACCAACTGCTGAGTGGATGTCAGGCCTTTGCTGTAAGCAGTGTGAATTGCAATGGATGAGCTGTTTGCAAAATTGTCAACTGGAGTAGCGCCACTCACCAAATCACTCCACTTGGCAGGTTTTCCACTTGGGTGGACCGAGCCATTTCCGAACACGGTCAAAAAAGAGACCCTTTTGGAGATGTTTCCCGAGGGCAAGGAGCAAAGCCGCTATATCTAAGTCATGGACTGAGAACAGCGTTCTGCAGGACCCGTTGCCGGCTATTTCCTGCTTCACCGGGATTGGGGGCTTGGAATTGGGGATGCGGAGGCGTGGTGATGGCTTGTTGATTTCAAGTCATGCAGTGGCAGTCACAAGTTTGGGGCTTGAAGCTTTTAACTTCTTAAAAAGCCGAAGCCATTCGAACCAGGCTTACGACAGTAAGTGAGCTAAGAGGGTTGAAAACCAAAGGGCGCATGCCATGTCGTCTGTCTCTGACGTGGTTACGGTGCGGACCGTCGGCGTAAACCAAGTCAAGCCGCTTGGTTCCATCCGCGCTGTGTTTGTGAATATATTGTTGTGAGCGGTCTCCAAACAATGTCGTGTAAAATGAAAACTTAGCAGTAGATTGAGATGGTCAAGATCCACATTGGACGTGAACCTCACTGAGGGTCTTGCGTGGTACCGTTTTGTGGTGCCGCTGGAAAGACTCGCTGTAGCTTGGCCGTGGATGCTGTTTTCACATAACAAATAGACATTTCAATCTGCGCAAGGAAGAGCGATAGTTTTCTACTGCGACTGCAATAATGTTTTCTGTGGATCGAGGTGGGTTTGGAAACAATCTCGGTGGGAGGAGTGCTCGGAGTGTGATTTCCCGGTGTCAACAGCTGAAAGCCAGCCGACAGACTTTGCCTCAGACCCAACAGTCCGAGCTTTATTCCAATCATTTATTGTGCGTTGTGTGTCTCTATTTGTTTTGAAGAATATAGACATATATACATACCCTAAACCGTAAACATATATTGATCTATCTATATATATATATATAAATTTTGTTACATATATATATATATGTAGTATATTTCGATGTTCGGAGATTCACAGGTGAAAAATAGATATAATCTAGAGGTAGATTCTTCGGATCCCGGCCATGAGGTTCGAGGGAAAAAAGCTATGACACCTGACACTTTCGGGATAGACACCGACCAGCGCCAACCAAAGCGTGTGGCTGTGAGCCGCTGAGAAGAAGGAAATCAACATTTGTTTTCTTTTTCAGTGATGCTATTCATTCCACGATTCTTCTCATTGGGTTGGTCACTCGAGGATTCATGATCAAGCTTGAACGGATTCAATCGACTTCAATCAGCAATTGATTTCTGTTGCAGGGCGTTTAGGACGGTGGAGATGGCCGGGGTCACAGGTCACCTTTAAATTCAGTGGGTTTGAACGCGGGTCTTTTTCTTCAGGTCGAGCGCAACGAGTTTTGCAGGGCCGTTCTCAAAGCGAGACAAGCCGAAGGGAGCCTCCCAAGATGTGAGATTTTGGAAGACGTGCGTGACTACAAGCCAACTTCTCAGGCAGCCCTGGGGGCTGCTGCTCTCCTTGGAGGCTTCCCTTGCCAAGCCTCCTTCTCAGCGGTGATCGCGCCGTGTTTGTGTAACTTTCACCCGTTGCTTCCTCAGGGCGTGTCGGTGGCGGGCCATCAACAGGGCCTCCACGATCCACGCTCGTTCCTCGTTGCGGAGCTCTTCAGGATCTTCGACTCCATGCCTAAAGGGTCGCAGCCTTTCAGACCAGTTTGTAATTTTGATTGTTGATTGCTGCAGCAGGCGTTTGATGCTCCTGGAGAACGTCTCAGCCCTGTTGAGCACAGAGGAGAACTGTCGACGCTTGATGCACTTCATTGTGCAGGCCATGGTTTTGACGTGTGTGGTTTTCAATCTGACAGGACCTGAAAGGCTCTCACATGCCAAAATCACTGAATTGGATTCATATTTTCAGGCTTCTGTGAAGTTTGTCAGTTTCTATTTCGACAGCGTTCTAGCACCCTGCAGGAACTTCGCAAACGAGAGATGCAGGTGTACTGGGTGACCCTCAGTCTGAGCAACTGTGGCTTCCAAGCCTTGGCCTTGGTCGTTGATTTCTGGACCGTGATGATATTCAAAGGACGTGTGCAAAACATTGCTATATGTATTTATGTCTTGGTTTGCTAGGCCGGAAGATGCCGCGTCTTCCTGCTGGCGATGCGCAAAGGGGTCAAGGAACTGTGTTGTCTGGTTGTCAGCAACAAGGTGGTGTAGCTTCAGCTTAGTGTTGTGCAAACATTAGAGTACCTTGTCAGTGTTGGTTGATGTCCGCCGGCAGGAGGTCTTCTCTGACAATGTCAAGATGTCCCTGGACTTGCCGCAGGCCGGGTGGAACCACCAAAACAAGGTGAACTTCAGTTCATGGCTGTCAATGGAGCAAACAGACATGGACAAGAAACGGCTTCACACCTTGGGCAATTGCGTCGTCCCCGCAATGGGCGCGCGTGCTCTGTCCGAGTTGGTCAGAATGATGGAGGCTGCTTGAGCACCATGACCATATATAATTTGATTTGGAACGTTTGTTTGTTGCTCCTATTGCGAAGGTGTTCCATTTCCTGTTTTTGCTCAAAGCCTGTGTTGTCTGCCCACATCATGTGTGGATGCTTTTGGAGTCAGTGTGATAACACTGAGTGGCTCCTAATTCAGGATTGCTTTGGTCAGTTCAAGCAACCATAACCTATAGTAACCTTTTGATTCGATGATTGACGTACTTCCAAGAGGAGTATTGTTCTTCCAAGGTTGTCAACTTGACAAAAGTTCATTGGTTCAACTGGTTGCTAAATTCGGAGTGACCCCCTTTGACAGTACTACCAGGGATCGCCCTTCGTGTTAGAGATCCGAGGCTGTCAAAAATGGTTGCTGAGGGGTCACGGCCTTTTTTGCCACCGCGTTGTAGTTTCCACCATTGGCGGCGAACGTGGATCAAGAACCGCTGGAGCTGTTTTGGTTTGGACTATATATTCGAAAAAAAAAAGGCTAGTGTCTACAGCAGCAAAAGAAGCCTGTTTGACTTCAGTGACCAAGTTCAGATAATTTTTTACTACTTCGTTTAGGGCCCGGTTTTCCTTTGTTTGACCATGTCGCTCGTTAACGAAGTGGTGAACAACATGAGTTTTGCTGCCGACGCCTCTCCGTGGCACCCCAACGCTACACAAACGACGGCGACCAGATTTGAGTCATTCAATGAGTTTGTCGAGTGTTTGGGGGTAGGGTTTTGGGAGACTGGAGACGTTCCTGCAACCATGGTCTTCTACATAGATGAGTTCAGTCGTGGCCGAGCACTTCTCAATGTTGAGTTGGAGGACATCTCAAAGCTTGAGGAAGTTGTCCGCAGAACCCGTCTGGTTCTGTCACCATGGCTTCTGTCAGAAAGCCAGTTGACCGACATACATTTCGTGTCTCCCCAGCCTTCCTCTGACCAGCGTGCTGGTGGAGAGGTGTATCTTTTGGTGGATGGCAGGCCAGAACTACCTACTTGCCCAATAATGGTGGTCACCAAAAGTGTCTTTAGGCGTCACAGCGGGCCTGAATTAAGTGTGAACTTCGACTTTGCAGCTGCGAGGGTCCCATTTACTGTGACCATGGAGACACTTGTAGAGCTTCACAATGCTGTTCAAGCTTACAGCCGTCATCAATGTGACGTCGAAGTCTCTATCCTTGGGAAGAAACTGTGGCCGGGGCAAAGCGTTGTTGTGCGTGCTGGCTTGAGGGTAGACGTTGTTATCCAGTTCCACACCACTCAGCCTTCTCCTCCAACAGATTTTGGGGGGGCCGGGGCGCCAAGTTGATTTCTTTTAAATCAAGACAGCGCGTGGTCGACTAAGCCGGTTCAGAGATGATATAGTCAGGTTTCTGGTTTCGTTCAACGATGTGTGCCCAAGTAAATTAAAAAACATCTATATATATATATAAAGCGCCGGGTTAACCCTGGGCTGAGGCCTACGGCGTCGAAGTTGTCGAAGTATGAGTGGCGTTGCTTGCTGCTTTGCGAGGAGCGCCAGGCTTTCTTCATCGACGGCCAACCTTCAGTTTTACCCAATTCGTTCTACGCCCAACAAGTCTTGAAACTAACTTTGTAAGGTTTTGCTCCCACTATGCCTACCAAACCCCGGGCAAAACTACACCAGGACAGCGGCGTTCCGAGCTTGCGATGTGGGCGGATTTTGAATTCTGGAGGAGGCGTGATTCAATCCGATTTTTTCATGAAACGGGGGCTTCCGCAGATCGAGCGTCGAGCAAGCTTTTTATGCGTGAAATTTCAAAGAGGAGAGAAGTAAGTTCGCAAAGTCACCTTATATGAACGAGAGACAGACACAGAGAGAGAGAGAGAGGGAGAGTGAGAGTGAGTCGGAAGAAGTTGTGGTTCTGTTGAGCTTGCAGAGCGCAGCCATTGTTCTTATTGGGTTCAAGCTGTCAAACAAACAATAGTTCATGTTTATGGACTATATTGAAAAGTTGGAACGTGATCTTACCTGGTAATCTTACCTTCTTGTTCTTCTTTTGTTCAATATTTCTCTTCAATCTTTGTAGATTTGCTGTGCCGCCAGATTCATTGCTCCAGCAATGGATGTACGTGTTGGAATGAATTCCATTGCTTGTTCTTGATGCCAATCCCGCCTGTCATCGACTTGAGTGACGAGGAATGTCCAAGTGAGGGCCAAGATGCCCAACTGCTGCCTTCTTTGTGGCGCAAGAAGCGAAAGCGGCAGACTGACGGCCCTCCTCCCCGGGAAACCATGGAGTCACAGCTCAAAGTGCTGTTAGGGAAGCGATGCGTGTCATGCAGGCACAACTGCATGCAAAAATTTAGCGAACCGGCGAAGTTTGAAACTTTAGTTGAGTTCAAGCGGGACTGGCTGGCTTTGCACAAGCTAGACCAAGATCAGGCTGTACCTTGGGTTCGACAACTTCAGGATTTTGTTGGGAGAAGCACTTTTTGGGGGAAACCAAGCCCCAACCTTGAGAGCATTTGCTTTAGGGCGCCCTCTGAAATCCCACGATAGATTTCGACAAGAGACTTGGAAATCGGTGTTTAGCACCCCACGAAACAATCGCTTTGCAAGGTATTTGACCGGATCCGCCAGACATTGCTGGGACGAGCAGGAGATGAATGCGCTAGCTGGATCATTCTGGGCACTCAAGTCTGCCTGCGCTCCTGGAAGCGACTACACGGAGTAGGTGCGCCGGAGCAATTGGTTTTCCAATGGGAGGGGGTCTTGACAGGGTTGGTCTAAACGAAATCCATGCGTGGGGTGATGTGGCAGTTGAAAATGATTCTGCAAGCCATACATTTTCGTGTCAACTAGTAGGCCTGTTGAGTGGCTGGTTCAATCCCAACGGCAGGGAACGCTCGATTTGACAAGTTGCGAGCTGCTGCAGAAAATGGTAGCATTGTACCACCAGTAGATCTACGTTACTTGAAGAAGGGTCAGCCCGTGCAAGATCGCCATGGCGATTGTGCTCGAGGAAGAATTGTATCATTCTTGGAAAGTGTTTACCATGGGCAGGCAGAGACCCTTCCAGATGTCCGTGACAACATTGTGGACGTGGACATGAAGGTGATAGATGTTCAGGTGGTTGCAGATCCGTACGTTGACGCATTGAATGCAGCCAATCCAGCTACAGAGCTTCCTTCCAAGAAGGAAGGCAGAAAACAGCATCAGAGATTGAAGAACAAATCAGTCCAGGTGAACACGGATCGTTCCCAACTTGAAGAGCGATTTCTGCCACCTGGCACTATGATGGATTATTATGAGCTGATGAAAGCAGCCGAACCAGATCTCCCTCCAGTAAGCTTCAGCAGCTTTTGGAGGACGTGGAAATCGGAGTTCACAAACTTAAAGTTTAGAGCAGCTTCATCACACGCGGTTTGCGCTATATGCCTCAAACACAAGATGTGGATACAAGAGATGAGCGGGCACGCTCGTGCGCGTACCAAGCAACGCGAGTTGTACTCCAAGCATTTGCAGAGCCAATATATGGATCGGGTCGAATACTGGACCCTCAGATCATCGGCGCGTTTAAGGACCTCCCTCGTGGTGATGATGATTGACAGCTGTGATCAAGCAAAATTTTGCTACCCCAGGGGCATGGTCTACCAATCGAAAGAGTTGGCGTCTTTGATCCGACCGAGGGCCCACATCACGGCCATCCTGGTCCACGGGAGGTTTCTTCTGTTCGGGGTCTCGAAGCACAATTTCCCCAAAAATTCATCCACGATGACGGAACTGATTTCGCACGCCTTAACTCTGGTGCAACGAGAAGTCGGTGATATTTCAGGAATTTCTTTGTCGGTACAAGCCGACAACACCACACGTGAAATGAAGAATAACACGTTGTTGAAGTGGATGAGCTCAATGGTCAGCAACCGTGCTCTTGTATTGATTGCGTAAAGTTTCACCGCGTTCTATTTTGCTTGTTTTGTTTGTGTTGCGGTGGATTGTATGTGAAAATCAACTTTTTGCCAAGCGCAAGGAGTCATCGCCAATTGTGCTCTCCGGTGCCTGCGCACCGGGCACAGCCATGAGGATTTGGACCAAATCTTCGGAGTTTTATGCAGGTATTTAGTTCGGAAGGCCAAACACGCTGTCACGCCGGATGACTTTGCGGCCCACATCCGGACGTGGATGGAGACTAGCTTGGAACGACCTTACGAACCGGGTCGACATGTTGTCCTGATGGACCAATCGCGTGATTGGAGTTTTGGATGGAAGTGCTGCAATTTGTTTATTTGTTGCGCATTGTAGTTCGTTTTCTTTGTTTGCTTTTCGTTTGGGCCTGTTTTCGGGCCGGACACTCTGCAGGAAGGGCTTTCTTAGCGAAGCAGTGCCGGTCGCTCTGAGTGGCATTGCAGGGCCAGGTGCCCCACACGTTTTCCAGTTCGACCGCCGCGAGTCTTTGGGCTGCTTGGTTTTGAGATAATCGCACACGTCACATTTTGTCGTTGCTTGGCCGGCCAGAGAACGTGCCGTGATGCAAGAGATCCCGAAATCGGTGTTCATCTGAACCCCTGGTGAGGGGTCTAGATGAACACCGGTGTGTTGCATCGCGGCCCCCCGTTGCCAAGGAAAGTCAAATAAATTTCAATTCTCAACGCGCGAAGCTGCCAGCTTATTAACCAAGATTCATGGGTTGGGGCCGCCCAGATTTCGGACAAAGTGCTTCAACAAAATGCAACCGCCCCTGCTCTCTCAATCGAGGATCCGATTTCAGCCCACAAGATGAGTTCTGGAGCTTGCAGCCTCAGCCTGGTGATGTGATTGTGCGGACAAAGCAATATATGGCGTCCCCAAAGTGGGAGACTTGTCATGTCCATTTGCCTCGGGCTGTTGCGCAAGTGAGGGTGCCTCTGGGTTTGCCAAATGCCATTGCGCCTCGCAATCCCATCCCAGCGGACTACAAGGATCACATTCTCAAGTTCATCCCTTCCTTGGAGCAGTACAAGCTTTACAGAGCAGCAGAGCATTTGAAATCTTGGGTGCTGGATCAGCTTGTCTTGCAGCCGCTCCTTGATGTTTCCGCGTGGCTTGACCTTGTGAATAAACTCGCGGCTTAGTGGACCCTGGGCCCGTCAGCGAGGGGAAGGGGAAGTCCTTTTGATTTTTCCTCTTTTTTCCACAACTCCAGAAGAGGCCGAGAGACTGTCACACTGTTTTGCGCTATTAAGATCTTGGGTCCGCGCGCGCGCGCGCCTTTTTGGGCTCTAAAAACGGCCGTCGGAGGCGCGCGCGCGCGCGCGCGGACCCAAAGCCATTCTATTTTTAAAAACGGTGACCTCACGGAACCTTATATTTTGCGGTCTCTTGACTTTGTTCCCCTTACTTCCAAGTTTGAAAAGAAGTCGGGGTCCTTGAAAGAAGAAACAATTGGAACATATGTGAGCACGCGCAAGTGTTTGTAGAGCCTCGCAAGAAGCTTATCAAGGTTCCACGCTAAAGTCAATTCGTAATACGATGTGACTTGAGGAATAGATGTTTGATGGATGTTTTCCAAGCAGGACTGAGCTCAATTGTTAACCACTGGACCATGTGAGGTGCTCAGTCCTGCGGGGGCATGCAATTGAATCTTCGCCGTTGCTGCCATGCTCATTTGAACCTGTCCCCAACAAGTTGAAGCTGCCAGGCTTTGTTTTTGCAATAACTTTTCGTTTTTTTGTAGCGTCAACCAGGTTTGGCTTATCGGATTGTTATCGGACCATCGGATCATCGGATCACCGAACCATCGGACCATCGGACCATCGGATCATCGGACCATCGGACCATCGGATCATCGGACCATCGGAATCATCGGATCACCGAACCATCGGACCATCGGACCATCGGATCATCGGATCATCGGACCATCGGATCATCGGATCATCGGATCATCGGACCATCGGATCATCGGATCATCGGATCACCGAACCATCGGACCATCGGATCATCGGATCATCGAACCATCGGACCATCGGATCATCGGATCATCGAACCTTCGGATCACATCGGATCATCGGACCATCGGATCATCGGATCATCGGATCACCGAACCATCGGACCATCGGATCATCGGATCATCGGATCATCGAACCATCGGATCATCGGATCAACGGACCATCAGATCATCGGATCATCGGATCATCGGACCATCGGATCATCGGATCATTGGACCATCGGAATCATCGGATCATCGGATCATTGGATCATCGGATCAGGCAGCCCCACGATCATAAGTCAGTGAACCCAAGTGTCAATTTTGCAGACCTGGCCCTGGCCACCTTCTTGCCCGGGTTTAGTTTATTGTTCATTGGGCGACTTCTGATCGGCCTCTCAGGCTGACCCGTGGAAAGGACACCCGCAAGGACGCCCAAGCCTACGTTGCCAGGGCGAGAGAGTCGATCACTTTGAAAGCAGCTGCAACAGCATGGGCTCACGGAGTGCCTTGGGGTGAAGCCTTGGATATCGCCACGAGGACACTGGCAAAGGCTTCCCCCAAGCCAAAGGCGCTTCCAAAGCGGGGACCTAGGAGGAGATGAGGTCGCACGCAGCGAGTGTGATTCCACGCTTTGAGCCACTGGAAAAAACGACCTAGATTGGAGAGAACTCAACAAGCAGCTCTGCTAGATTTGTTGATGACTTTGGCATGGAGTGACAAACATTCATTTGAGAGCGCCGTGCAATGAAACAAGATCATTACAACGCCCCTCCCTTTTGTCAGTTTCACGTTCAGGCTCTTATTATTTGTCTCCAGTTTGCAAGGAGTTTCAGAACCTGCGCACCCTTGTCACCAATTAAATATCAATCATGAAGCCACGTTTTTTTTTGGCTGGGCAGGTTGCCTTGCTGCGGATTTCAAGCCTGAGCACAGCAACGCTTAATTAATGCATGGAGGCAATTTTAACGCTGCGCGCTATTCGCACGGGGAGGTAGCTAGTCAAGCTGATGTTCACCCAAGCAGCAATCTAATGGAAGTTCCGTGTTTTGATTGATTCTGGTATACTTGTGGCCAGGGGGCTGGCGTTCCCGGTTGGGCATGGGTTCTCCCATCACCAGGCGCAGCAGGTACACCAGGCCAGGTCTGCTAAATGATCAAGCCACGCGTTCAATCTTGAATGGTTCCTCTTTTTCGTCGTAACCCTAAACCCTAAACGTTTGACCGGTCTAGAAATTTGGGAGCGGCAGCGTAGTTTGCGTGACAGGCTTTGGAGTCAGCGCTGGGCATCCGACACTTCTTGCAAGTTTGTGAAAAGTAGCTCAAAGTGTCGGATCCGACCTCGGATCCGACACTTTGCCCCATGCCTTGGCACGGTTTCATTGACTGTGTTTTGGGGCACGCGGCAATGGTTTGAAATCAAGCACCGGCAAAGTGTCCAATCCGACCTCGGATCCGACACTTTGGGGGGGGGGTTGGCGCGTGCCCTCCAAAGTGTCGGATTTGGATTTGGCAAAGTGTCGGATCCGGGTTTGGTCACAGTGTCGGATTTTTGTTTCGCGAAAGTGTCGGATTTTGTTTTGATCTAATCCAAGCATCGTATTTTGGTGGTTGGTGAAAACAGTGTTGGAGTTTGAGTCGTTTTTGGGATACTAACTGAAGTTGTTTTTGGTTATTGGTTGGCAGGTGACATGGCAATGGTCTGGCTGATAATAAGTGGCTTTTGTCAACGTTCCCGCTGGGGAAACATCTCAAGTTTTTTTTTGGGGTAGGTTCAGGCTCGATACACGTTTCGGATTGTTGCGTTTCTCGATCCACTGGTTGGTGGCGTGTTGAACGGGTCCTGCAGGTGGGAAGTGTCGGATTCCGCCCGTGGAAGAAATGTTTGAATTTGTGAGCGTTCAGAAGCACTGCGCCAAGTAGTGTTGGAGCAACGATTGAACGGGTCCAGTTCCAGTCAGCAGCTGCGCTGTAAATATGAACCATAGTATACCATGTTCCGAGGTTGGAAAATTAGTGTGCTTTCGAGTTTGGTCTCATCATGCATTGTGGCCTCCTCGACTCTTGAAAACAACCTAGCTTAGGGCCATTGCCTCCTTTCTGGCTGAATGGGGTTCAGTCAAAACATATATTTTTTTGTCGGCTGACGAATGTGGCAGTTCAAAAGCTTGATGTCCTCCTGGCCTGTTGTTGGCTAGGCCCCAGGCATTTTGGCTTTTGCTTTGGGCTAGCAGCCTGTGTGTGAGTTGATCCGTCATGCCAAAGGGCCGCGACAGCAAACGCTCCTCCAAGCGTTCGGAACGTCGCAGTCAAATGCCTAAAACATCTGAAGGGCAAGGCTGGGTTGAGAAATTTAATGGGTCCTTGCTGTTGGCAGAAAGATCAACCAGAATTTCTCTTGATGTTCCTTTCTGAGGGCGTAATGCTGGCTCGCAAGAGAACGACACGAACCGATTTTGCATTGAAGATTCTTCAGCGTTTGAGGCCAGTGGCGGTTGTTGCCGTTTTTTGGTGCGTTTGAAGGGTTCATTTTTGGGAAACTGGGCCAGGAGCTTGTGCGCAAGGGTTACTTGGGGGAGAAGAACACCGTGACGATCCGATACTATGATATGCTGGCAGGCTCGAAACAAGAAGCGTATATTGATATGATATACATGTATACATACATGACGTGACATGACGTGACGTGATTTATACCGACGTGCGTACGACCGATACTGTGTGCACGCATTATCCACGCGCCCGTGGTGCATTTATCATTCTCAACTGTTTGCAGGTGAGCAAGCGCTGACTTCTCAGACTCCGACTGGGGAGAGTCAACTTCTTTACGCAGGGCCTATAGCATTTCTTTGTGGTCGTAAAGTGCTGAAGAGAAACTACGATGGTCAACCAACGTCTGAGAAAGAGAAGCTTGTGTTTCTGGTCTTTGGAAATGAACAAGTTTGTTGATGATGTTTTTTTGGTGAAGCCCTTTCTTTGCATTGCGCAACCCGCGTGACTTGCCGTTGCGGCCTAGGTTCCTCTTTCGGAACACGGCAGTCTGGCCAGACAAAATCCCGAGTGCAATGTCGAGCGCTGATATTGGATGTGCAGAATTTTGTGCCCAGACTTGGTACGTGGAAAACGAGCTTATCGCCCTCATTCCTTGCAGCGAGATGGGCATGCTTGATGCCCCTATGCCCGCCGCTGCTATAGCCAAGAACATCGGATGCCCTGCTATCTATATCCCCCCGGCTAAGTTTGACGTGTTGACTGATGGGGTGGAACCCATGGGCAGTTTCCTGGCAAACACAAACTTCTACTGTCCGCCTTCTTTTTTCCATAAATAGATGAGTATACATATTTTCCCCATATATTATTTTCTGTGTATATATAGTTTTCTTTGTATGAAGCATGTGTTGAGCCCCGGCGCACATCCAGCGCAATCTGGAGGTTCTTTCGCCGATGTCATTCCACGTCTGAGCGGTGACGCAGACTTGTTGTTCAATAGTATCGCAGGCTCTCTCCCAAGTGCTTCTTGCGACCCGTGAGTCTCATTTTGATCAGGCCGGAAACGTCAGCAGTTTAGCCGCTAGAGTTCAAACAATCCTTTCAGGGTGGATTGTAGAGACGCAATCTCTGTGTGACTGTGTGCAGTTAAACAGGAAGCTTTTGAAGGCTAGTCTGGCTGCCGTCAAAATGAGTGTGCTCAATCTTTGGTGTTCAAGTCAACGCCAGCTTCATGTCCAACGTTGATTGCCGTGAAGACGCCTCTAGCTTTTTGTTGTGATTATCAGGGGTTCAAATCTGAGCGGAAGGCTTTCGTAATGCCCGCAAAAAGAAAATCGGCCGGGGGCGCGGCTGCTGCAACCAAAGCCTTGAAGCGGCCGCCCGCCATTCCAGAGTATGTGGCGAAGATCACTGACTGGCGCGACCAAGTCAGGGTTAACGTCACTTGAACCACCAATGACTTTCTGGCTGTGAGGTATAGACATGTCGTGGTGCCAGAAGGAGGCGCAGACAAGTTCCTGATGAAGCGGTATCAGAAGAAGGCCGCTCCTCACATTGCTTTGAATTGCTGCAGTGATGTATTTTGTGGTGGTAGTTGGCGCAATTTTACCTGTGATGCCAGGATGATCTTCTGGGTTTTGCCCGGTGGATAGATCATCATTTCCCACCGAGCAGTTCACAGGTGTACTCTACAAGCTTGGAGCCAGGGGCAAAAATTGTTCGCGCTTGGCAATTGTCTTTCAGGACAGATTACGGCTTGCCTGGGTACATGGAACCGGATGATGGAGAGGTGCTATTGCAGTTAATCCTCACGGAGGGGTGCTTGTGTTGCACTGAGGTTTGTGTTTTTTTACGGTGTCAAATTGGAAATAGTGAACTCAATTCTTCAATCGAATTTCTCAGGTTCCGGACCGACAGCAATATTCCAGGATTTGAGAAGATTGCCATGATGAAGCCAGATTCAGCCTTCCTCGAGGCCCCCGCGTCCGACCTCCCTCCATTGGACCCAGACAGTTCTGTCCTGAGTTGTTAGTCTACACTCAATAGTTATCAATGAAATGGCTTTAGTTTGAAAGCCGTTAAGCCAATTACAGAGAGCGGATCATGGAGCATCACACCGATCATTTTGGTGGAGGTGCTACATCTTCACGCCAGACCCTCAAGTGCACAATGGAATCTTTGTTATCCAACCATCTTCAATCGGTCGACCAAACCAAAAGATGGTGTGTGTGTGTTTTCCGTTCATGAGGCCATTATCTCTGTGCCAGCCTCATGCCAACGCCCGCCGCCCAGAGTCCAGTCGTGCAGTAGTGGTCAGGGTTGGGAGCCAGGCAGGGTTTGGTGTTGGGGATTTGGATGTGGGCTGATCATTGATTCTGCAGCCAATTTTTGCGCAATATCGGGGCCCTTTTCACGCTGAAACCCACAGTTGTAGACCCGTTCTACAGTAACTCATCATGGCCAAGCGGAAGGCTGAGGCGGAAGAGGAAATTGACAGTCAACTGCCACCCGATTGTGACTCAGACTCAACACTGATTTTGGGCGGTGGAGCAGAAGATGAGTCACCTGTTTTGGAGGGCTCACAGGTCACAGAGTCACGAGATGTGGCTGCGAAGGAAAACACACCAAAGCTCCACAAGGAAGACACAAAGGGCAACAATTGTGAGTCTGGTGTGGTTGCAGCTGTTCCCAATCAAGATGCTCACGCTCGTTGTGATGGGGCCCAGGGCGATGAGAAGAAACCTCTGAGCCTGCCAAGGAAGAAAACATGCATTTACAATTGACAGCCAGCGACTACAGGTTTTGATTCTAAAGTCTACGTAGCAGTCTTGGTGACCTAGCAGTCTTTTGTGACTACAGGTCTTTGTGACATTGGCAATTGGTGGATGGTCGCGTAAAAAAGTGCAGACTCAAATTAAATGCCCCCTTCCGCCATGCAACCCCCCACTACGTTCCTTCATGCCATGAGCATTCTTGGTCGAATGTTAATGTTTGTGTTTTGACCTCCGTTTCCCAGGCCATCTCCTTGCGGCTTTTGGTGCGAGGGGCGTGTGTAGCTTGGAATCTGCCAGACTTTGCATGGCCAAAGACAAAGCTTAGGTCCTGATGCCATCTCGCCCTTCAGCATTGGATACGTGAAAGGATGGAGACGCAGCGTTTGCTGCTTGATCGGGCTGGCAGGCATCAAGGAGTTGGAGATCTCGCTGGACGATTTGGATGGCGCCTTCAAGGCCGGTAGTTAATTTTACACCAGTCTATACAATGTGATCCTTTTTTGAAGCCTGGCTGACTGCAGTCTTCGATCAGAGCGGTGCATGGCACCGTTGCAGATTTTGCCAATGTGCGGGACATTGTGTGGGCCAATCGAGGCAAGGTGTTCGCAGCATTATGATTCACCAAGCGTGGCCCTTTGACGTAAGTGTTTTAACAAAAGCCCTTCCAGCCCAAAGCAGGCATCACTATGGGTTCCACTTCCACAAGAAAAGCACCAAATTGCTTTAACTTTCTGCGACAGCTCGAAGTCCTTGGCCGTGCGCATGGTGATGCTGCTGCTTCCTTCACTGTCGCGGGGCACCTATTAAAACATTTGGTAGCCCAACTGTTCTTTTGTTGATGTTCTTGGCCTCAACTGATCTTTCGCTTTCAATATTTTGGGGGCAGTAGCGAAGAGAGACCCGGTTTCATTTTGTAGGGACATGTTGCTGAGGATTGGGACGACGCGACCAAAATCCAGAGAGCATTCCAGATTGGAGAGAAGGAAGCGAAAGCCGTCTCAAATTTGCAGCACCGTGTATCTCCGTCGTTCCTCGCGGAATTGCGTGAGAGTGTGCGACTTCGCGGGATGCGTGCTTGGATGGGGCACGATGTCATTGGGAAAGACATGTTCAACCAGGGATGGTCTTCAGGTACAGGCACGTATGAAAGCTGGCGAGATGCTTTGACGAATTCCACTGATGATGCGTTGGAATTCTGGCTTTGCTTAATCTTACAGGTTCTGATCTTGGTAAAATTTGGTGTTCTTTTCGGATCCCAGAATGGAACCCCCGACGACCCGATATTTTTGGAGTTTAAGGTCGAGCTTGTCCTTGGCCGGCTGCGAGATGATTGGGACAAGTTGATGCCGCAAATGCGTAAACAATGGTCTTTCCGTGATGCTTCGGCCATTCATGCTCTATGTGGCGGGTTCTTGGCTGTTGTCAAAGAGCTCCAGCGGAAGGTGCCGGCGGCTGACTTCAAGGATGCAGAGGACAAGCTCTACGGGCAATTCAGAACGGGTTACCTAGATCCTGAGCTTGAGAACATGCTGTCCACAGCTGTGCCACCTCCAAGCCTGAGCGACTTGTCCTTCACTAGGGTTATTGTGGCCGCAGTTGACCAGCGTGTGCAGAACGACCTTGAGCAGCAGGAAAAGGAACTCTCAGAGAAGCTCCACAATGCGACTGTGGAACAGATCACATTGAAAGTGAACACGGACATCGATGCTCTTAAGCAGCGGATCCCCACCAAAGAAGTCGAAGCAGTCGAGGCAGCTAAAGATCAACGCTATCTCAAAGAGCGCCAATTGAAGCTCATAGTGCAATTAGTTCTCATCTACTTCACTTTGTGCTAGCAGAGTCCGGAAATACAAACAGGAAGCGATTTATTTCCAGCCATATTTATATTTATATATATATAAATAGAAAGTTTGATAGCCGACCGGATGTGCAATGTTTTGGTTTGTGTTTTGGGCATACATCATGTCATATCAGGAAAGGGCAGGCGTACACGAAGGATTGGCTGGAGGCGAATTGCAAAATGTTCAAGGTGTCTGAGGATACACTCCCGAACTGTGTGGCCGAGTTTGCGCGGTTTACCAATCGGTGCGGGGCAGTTGTACGCTCTGGTGGTCAGACGCTCCTTGTTGGAAGCCATTCATTCACTGTTGCGTTTTAATTGTTTCTTTGATTGTTTCTTTGATCAAACTGCCTGGAGTTGTCGAACCGGGACAACTTCTGCCTCATGCATGTATTGAGGTTTACTTTGGTGACCTTCGACGCAACCGTGTGGCCCAGCAATGCCTTGTTCATGTCCAAGTGCCTTGAAGTGTTTTCCCAATCTGTTTCTATGACAACCTTGTCGATGGGGCTGGTCCTCCTTCCAGTTCTTCACGCTCAAACAACTCCTGCAGCCCTTGTGAAACACACAAGAGCTATGACGGATTTCTTCATGAAGTCGGGCCTGGACGTGACCCAGCAGATCACCGTCAGCTATGACAAACAATCCAGCATGGCCAACGATAAGAGAAAGGCTTATCAAACGGCGATGCTTGTCACTACGGCATCAAATCAAGATGACAACCCATGGACCGCTTGCAAAGTCTTCAAATCGGGAACATTGGGGCCGATTCCCCTCATCAAAATCGCTGACATGGCCGGGTACGACAGTGACAATCGCCCGGGTGCTGCTGCGCGAGTGGAGCAGCGACTTAGCCGAGTGCTCAGTGAGTAAGGTTTTTTGTCGCTAGTTAAATCTCTTCAACCGCCCAAAGATTTAATTTCGCAGCAAGTTTGCCTCCGGTCGGTAGTTAGTCTCATGTGGTCTTTGTGAAGCGTGTTGCAATTTCCTGCCAGTTGGTTACTTCTGAGGAAAGGCGTTCCCGCCTTCAAGCAGGTGTTGAAGGAGATGTTCATGGGGATGGATTTCCGCCAGGAGGATCTGGTCCTTGTGTTCGATGTGCTTCCGAACAAGTGGCTCACCTTTATCGAGTCGGGAAGTCTTTTGCCGACCCCAGAAACCATGTCCTGTGTTTGCAGCATTGCTTCTGGTTAGTTCTTCTAAGGCATGCAGAGCTATGCCGTGCTATCACCCAGAAAGTACTGCGCGAATCTTCAGCGGCGCCTCGATTGGTGTACTTCGGGGTTCTCAAGGACCACAAGGAAACCGTCGCAGATGTTGAGAACATGGTCTATTCTCATTGGGATGGGCTGGCTGATAGCCCTCCGAAGCAAAGGCCGCAGGAAGCGAAGCCCGATCCGATTTTGAACCTTTTGACGTGAAGTGGCCAGAGTTGTGGTTTTCCTTCTTCTTTGCTGAACAAGTTTGCCACAGGGACCACGCATCATGCTGCTATGCTCGCTTTGAAGGAGAAAGTCCAGGCAACTTTCCCACAGAACTTTGCTGGCGAGGGCTCAGCAGCAGGTGGCACCACGTCTACCACGGTGCGCGCAGCTGGGCGGCCGGATTTCTCCATCGAAGGGGGGAAAAAGCCGGTGGACATTTGCAGACAGGTGCGGCTGGATGCTTTGCCTGCTGATTCATTCACCTTTCCCAAGTTTCTTGGGCAGCGCTAGGGTCCATTTTTATACATCTTTATTCTTTCTGAGTGGGGTGTTAATTTGGTGTATCTTTTCATTTTTGTGCTTTGCATTCTGTAGGCTGGCTTCCTGTGACGGCGTGAAGGGCAAGCCTGCAGTGTTTATCACGAAGTCGCATGAAGTATATCTAGGGAATTCAACTGCAGAGGAACTCATCGTCGAAGGGGAGGTCTTTGGTTTCAACCGTGGTGTTTTCGAGGACAAGCTGATCACAGGCCCGGAACGGCCCGTGACAATCTTACAAAATTTTGAGTGCTCCCCATGTCGCGTTTCCAAACATATACAAGGGTTTATAACCGTGAAAACATGGTTTCAAAAGGGTTGCTCGCGCCAAGAAATCCTTCGTGGAAGGCGACCCAAACGCAGAGCTGACCTTGATGCCGTGGCGCTTGAGTTCAGACTTGCAGCTTGTGATGCACAACAAGAACCTCATGAGCCTAGCTGACTTTGTGCATTTCATTTGCACCACGCACGGAGTCGCTGCGTTCGATTTGCTGGACCACACCATTACCCAGAAACAACACCCTCCAGTGCCTTGTCGGGAAATCCTAAAGTCGAAAAGCTATGAGTGGCTCTGATGCTGTTCCGTGCCTTGTTTTAAGCCCTAGAGGCCGCGGATGGAGGTGATCCTGTCCCAGTCCCTTACCGATACACACTTTCACCAGCGCCGAGCGGCAAGTGCAATTCGTTTCGCCCAGCAGAGCTCAAAGATTCTGATACTGTGAGGCCATGAATTGTTTGTTGCTAAGACTTACTGCCCTGATGATACTTAGGTTTCACGTTTGTATTCAGATCCACGGTCCAAGTTTTATTCGGAAACTAAAAGGTGATCTTCGGAAACTTTACGGTTTTCTTCGGAAACTAATCATCGGAAACTTTACAATTTCTTTGGAAACTAATCTTCGGAAACTATGCGGTTTTCTTCGGAAACTTTATGGTGTTCTTCGGAAACTGATAAATGGAAACTAATCTTCGGTAACTTTAAGGTTCAGGTTTTCTTCGGAAACTATTCTTCGGAAACCAATCTTCGGAAGCTCTACGGTGTTCTTCAGAAATTAATGTTCGGAAACTACAAACAGTCGACGAGCAACATCAAACCTGCGCGGAAATCTTTCTGCAGATCGCAAAACAAGCATGTGTATATACCGTAGACGTCACAAGGTACGTCAATATCCCACCCACCTACCCCCCACCCACCCAGTGCTCCTTCATGCAAATTGGTTGCGACATTGTAAAAGTTCTGAGGAATACTTTCTAAAGTTAGCTTTTTCTGAAGATAGCGAAATAGTCTCTGAAGATCGCGGAATAGTTTCTGAAGATCGCGAAATAGTTTCTGAAGATCGCAAAATAGTTCCTGAAGATCCCAAATAGTTTCTGAAGAGTAGTTGCGGAAGAGTACCAAATAGTTGCGGAAGAAAAGTTTCAGAAGAATGGAGAGTTGCGGAATAGGACTTTGTTCTCAGATCCACGGGTCCATTCAAGTTGAAATTTGGCAGGCATTCGAGCATTGGGGCTGCCTTTGTTGGGGCGATGAACAAACTGCCGCGCAGTGATGTCTGTGGGATCGTGTGGGAAGTTTCTTGGTTGTTCCATTTTGGACAGGGTTGCAGTATTTTTTTGTGACGGTTTCAATCACCAAAGCTTAGGTTGATGTGCAAACCGGAACGGGAAATGCCAAGATTGTTGCCACCAAGCCCAAGTTCTGTGTGACATGTAAACTCCGAATTTCTCCAGCAACGTGGGTCAAAATAACGTGACCCAAGATGTAGACAGGCTGCTTGATCTCGCATCGCAGAATGCTTTTTGTGAGCGGCGCCATTGATAGGCATTCTCTTTCCAAAGCAGTTGTTAAGCTCTGCACTTGAAGACATTTTTTTGAAACTGAACGCAATGTGTTCTGTTTTCTGGCGACGCTGCGTTTAGATGCGCAACAGGTGGGCATGACAACGTTTCAATTGTCTTGTCCAGCTGGCAGTTCGTAGCATGAGGGCATTGTTGGAAAACGCACAGTTAAGTTTTTGCTGTTTGACAACAGAATGCGCCAGCTCAGTGTGCAACGGAACTTGTAATTATTCCCACCGTTCTATTTAGGTTAACGGCTCGATTAGTAGATAGCTGTGTTGCAGCAGGGTAGGGTAATACAGGGTAGCAAAGGATGGGACTTTTGCCGCCGGTGGACAAGTTGAGTGATGAGGAACCAGCGGCTGAGGAGGGACGGAAGGACGGTAAGTCCACTTTTCGCTGAGAAAACAACCGGGTGTAACCATCCAAATCAGTTTCACGAGTCTGTTCCTTTTTCGACACCTATATCTGTGACATTCCATGTCACGCTGATATCAATGTGCCAGTTTTTTCAAACGCATTATATACCTTTGTTCGGCTCTCCGCAAGGACGCTCCGCGAGAACCACAACCAATGAAGAGACCATCAGCTTTGAGGAACCCCAAGCCCAAGCCAGCACCCAAGCCAACGCCTGGCCCTTCTGCTCCGGAGGGTGTTTCTGAGACCGCAGACGAAACACCTCAGGCAGAAGAAATGCCAACCGGGGAAGAACCGAAAGCAAAGGGTAAGGCGAAACCAAAAGGGAAAGGGAAAGCTGCCGCGAAACCGAAAGGAAAAAGCAAAGCCAAAGCAAAAGCGAAGGGGGGGGGGCGAAACCGAAACCGAAAGCGAAATCAAAGGCGGAAGGTGTCTTGGGCGCTGAAGGTGGGGCGGAAGAGGGTGATCCGAAGCCCAAGGGGAAAGCAAAGGCGCAAGGCAAAAAGAGGTGCGCTGCTGCTGACCAAGGCCTGTAAAACGCGGTCTGTGTTAGTTTTGGACAGAACAGCTTTAACGCAAACAAAAATCCAAGGACAATTCAGCTGCCCAGGTTTCAACTCATACATCAGTCCTTTGACGTGTTTGAAGAAACCACGCCCCAACCTTTTGCTGCCAGGTGAGAGGACCGTCGGCAAAATCTATTTTTACAAACGGACCAACATCTATGGAGTGAAAGTGAACGGTTCTGAAGCCTTTACTGTTTGCGCCCCGGTGCAACCTTTGCCCATCCTATGTTCGACTTTGAACATTTTGAGGTGGGGGGCAAGTATAAGGAGGCAGCGAAGTCACAAGAAATCGCGGCGGGGGCCTCACATTCTGAAAACCGGTGTTGAATATATATGACGGTTTTCAGTTTGCAGGAAATTGGCCGTTCTCATTTGCTCGCCGGCGATTCAATTGAACGTGTTCAGCAAGTGGTTGCCAGACCCCCAGCAATTATTGTTAACGGTTCATGTGATGTTCATTGCAATTATCTTCAGGCGAGCCTGGCTGCAGAGTTGCCATTCTACAATACCGGCTCCCAAGGCAAAGTGAACAGTTAATTCTTCTATTTTTATGTACGCGTCCCATTGTCATAGCTGAATTTCTCACACACCCAGTGCCAGGTTCATCAAGTGCACCCGAACTCCCTGACCCGACGGCTGATCCAAATGAGATCGTAGAGGTTGCGGAACCTGCGATTCCCGCTGTAGAGCCTGGTGTGAGTTGCGAGCACCTCTGTGAAGATGGGAATGATGAGAATGAGGGCGGCGAAGAAGAAGCCCCAGCTCGTGACGATGAAATCGAGGATGTGAGCTAGTGCACCGGTTCACCTTGAAACTTGAACCCTGCCGACTTCTGCCAGCGGCCCAAAAACCTCTTCGTTGAGTGCGTTGGGTGCAGTTGCTGAGTTTCTACCTAGTTTAATGGCCATGCCATGTGACGCCAGCCTGGTTTGTTTCATTATGTTGAAGATTTGGTGAAGGAACCAAGGACATAAACGGCGAAAACAAACGCGCAAAAACGTTTTCATGGCATGATGGCCAACCAACAGCGGCCTCTTTTTGTACAACAGGTCAAATCGACAGGTCTGTGCTTAAGATCATTTCCGCGTAAGATAGAGGAAAAGGGTCCGGGGGCCATTAATCATTGCGTGTGTTACAAAAAAAAGGGTAGCTGTAGTAGCAGGCCTGCCAAAAACTAGGGCCCGTGGTTCCGACACCGGAAAGCAAGCGCAAACAGTTTGTTAAAGGTAAAAGCCTGATAGACAGACACACACATTGACGTATTTTGTACGCACGGCATACATACAAAATATTGACATCAAACATGTGATGTGGACGGCACATTTGGCATGGACGCACGGGGGTGTATTAAGTATTGTTTTGGGCAACATAAAGCCTACGCCGGCTTGAGCCTCTAGACTCTCTAGACAGTATGGCCGCTGTGCAAGCCAGCGCAGTGAACTCCCACATCGTTGTCATTGTCGCTGCCATTATCTCAGGGTAATATATTATGGCAGTGAACTCCCACACTGGCAGGCAGTGAACTCACATCATTGTCACTGTCACAGCTGATTGCAATAATTTGAAGGAAATCTGATGGAACCCCAGATGCTAATGGAACCCTGATTGCAAGGAAAATTCCATACCTTCGGGTTGGCCATCATGCATAGTACCCCTCCCTGGGAGTGACCTCGTGGTTGCGCCGCGTAAGCAGCATCATTGGCGGAGACAATGATCACGTCCTTGAGGTCGCAGTCCAGCTTGCTCACCTTCACCTCCACTTCCTTTCGCGCCCGGTTGACCAGCTTCGCGGTCCACTCCATCGCTTCCCGCAGACCCGCACCGGCCAACTGCTGGCAATGCGACACTCCATAGGAC